GTGTATTCACACCCCACTGGCTCACTCAGAACACCCCTGGGGAAGCGTGGGGCGTTACTAATACTGTTACCACCATTTCATTAAATCCTGATCCTCAAGCAGCATCTTTTCATCATTCAGGGAAGACAACCACGTCACACGCACGTACAAAACACAGTGTCTTCTCAAGAAAGGCACTCAGAGTGAGTCTGAGCTGTGAGCCAAGCAAGACACCCTTTCCAGGCAACACCCCTCGGTCCTGAGAGCACTTCTGACGCCCAGAGGGTTACTGTGGGCCGTCGAGTCTGAACCGACCCATCGCTGGCCGGCGACTGGTTTTCAGAGGCAGTAAATCACCTGGGAGGAGAACGTCTATCCTTCTCCTGATGAGGAGCTAGTGGAATTGAACCGTGTGCCTTATATTAGAAAGCAGCTTCTTATCATGAGGCCACCAGGCCTTCGTGCTGCCAGAGTTTGTAAGTCAAAACCCAAATTTCCGAAGTCTTGGATCTGGCACTCGGAGCTTGGCAGTCTCTGGCGTGGAGCTGGATAGCTGTCCCAGCCACACTGCCTGATCCTGTGAGATGAGCAGTGCAAACACCAGGAGGTGCTGCATATCTCCACCATCTAGTCATTTCCAAGTGAACACAGTCCCAATCCCACGGGCAGATGACAAGTTCACTCCAAGTACAAGGGGGCCTGGGGCAGGCAGGGAAGTGAGCACGAGCTGCTGAGCTCACGGCCAAGGCTGCACACTTCCCACCACGAAGACTGCATGCAACTGCCGGGTGCTCTCACACGTTGCTGCCGGGTCTCAAATCGTAGAGCCCCCCAGGACAGCAGCGCAAAGGCTGCCCAGCCCTGAGCCTCCGCACAGTCTCTGCCAGGATCCCAGCCACGGTGCCCGGTCACCCCACGGAGGTCTTCCTCCTTGCTGCCACGCTAGATTTACCAGGCTTGATGCCTTTCTGCAGACGCTGGGAATGGGGTGGGCTCAAAGAAAAAAGCAAGCCCCAATTATCTGAAAAGGTTACCCAACTCTCCTCCCTTTTCCTGCTACATATCCACGTGGTGCTGCACTTTCCTCACGTCCAAACAAAACAACATATTGCCGCCGCCGGAGTGCAGGAGCCGACTGGGAAATGCAGCTGTCTTCCGGGACTGGGGAGATGTGCACCAGCGTAAAGTATTAAAAAGAGATTTATACAAAAAGGGCCTTTCTTTACACTAAATACTGTTTGGGGAAAATGACAATTTTTCATAAAAATATGTTATCCATGATGACTTCTAAGGAGTTCATCACTGTTATTTAAAAACAAATGTCTGAAGGGAGCTCTGGTGGCCAAGAGGCAAGAAGCTGTGCTGCAACCCTAAAGGCGCACGGTTCAAATTCACCAGATGCTCCATGGGGAAGGAGGGGCCAAGTTTGGTGAAGAGCCTCCATCAGTGAACGGAGGAGAACCCCGTGGTACAGTGAATGCTGGGCTGGGCTGACCTAAGGCAAAGGCAGCAGAGACCCCAGCCCTGGATCGTGGGTGCCGACACCCCACGCCCTCCTCGCATGAGAGGGGTCTGGAAGCAGCTACAGTCACAGCAGGAAGACGGATGAGTGTTCCGGCGGCAGCGCTCTGTAAACACAGGCCCCAGAAGGCCTGACACCTCACACGTGGCAGCCCTGCCAATAAAGCACTTCATCGGAAAGCAGATCTCGGGTGAAAAATGAAACGCCGCCATCGATTTCACTGTACAGCCGATTTTATTTACAAATAGAAGCCAGATAATCTTGTATTTAAATGGCAGGAGCTCCATCACTCACGATCAAACAAGTGACATCTGAAATTTATAAACTTCCACGTTATGATTCAATCTCTTCTGTAAGGTGGAGGGAGCTTTCACGATCATAGCACACCCACAAAGCGGCGGACAGACCCGGGAGGGCGGCACGTGTCCTCCGGGGGCCTCCTTCCCCAGGACCGTCCAGGCACAGGAAGGCCCGGCGGTCCCTCCTCTCTGTGGACACCTCCCTCAGCCATCATGGCACAGACCCTCCCCAGCTGCTTTCACAGGAATGAAGTCAGGAGGCTCACCCCGAAGCCGGCCGTCCAGGCGCAGGAAGGCGGCCCCTCCTCACTGTGGGCACCTCCCTTGGCTATCAGAGCCTAGACACACACAGCCCCAGCTGCTCCGACAGGAATGAGGTGGGCAGGAGGCTCACCCCAAAGCCGGCTGTCCAGGTGCAGGAAGGCGGTCCCTCCCTCAGCTCCCACGGCACAAACCCCACCTGCTCCCCCCACAGAGCCACTTCAGCCCGTTCCGAGGAGACCTGGGCTCTGCGTCTTTGGACCACGATTTAGAGGTGCCTCCCGTGGGCGCTCTACCACGCAGTGACCCCTCTGTTTGGTGACATCCAGCACCACTATGACGGCAGGCTCTGGAAAGCCCAGTGTGGCCGGACACGGGGACGGCACACAATCAAGCGCACTGCCCCACTATCGCCAGGCGACCGGGGTGGCCCCGCTCACGGGTACCCGCCCGCCCTCATGTCAGGACCCCTCCTCACACTCGGCCCCTGCACCCGAGGCATCTGGGGGGTGTGGCCCCAGAAAACGTCCACCAACCAAAACCCTGTGGGGCCTCAAACAACTCCTGCTGAATGAGGAGTCGGACTCAGAGGGACGTGTGTCCACAAGGCCACTCAGACAATGGGCCCAGGGTCAGCACAGGTGCAGGGCACAGAGCAGCCCAGGCCCCACGGCTGCAGCAATACTTACAGCACATTCACACCCTGGGGGCCTCTCCTCTGTGAGGGCAGCAGCAGCACCCCCAAATGTCCATGTCCACCCCGGTGTCCTTCCCTCTGTGTAGGCAGAATTAGCACCTGCACGCCCCGCCCTCACCCCTCAACTCTGCAGGCCTGGCTTCATGGACACCCTGAGAGAGGCCGTTGCCCTAGATACAGCTGGAAACAAGGAGTGGCCAGTGGCCAGGAGTGGATGCTGGAGCCCAGGAGCAGGGGACACTAACAACAGCGCCTCGGCCAGGGTCCCTGCCCAGAGCCTGCCCTCCGCACCTCGGTGGGCACACATACCATCACCCAAAAGGCCCCCTCCTGCCTGCAGCCTAGAGCTCCTCCAGCTGTGGAGAGGAGGCCCTGAGGCTGGCAAGGTGGGGCAGCGATGCCATGCGCGCCAGCAGCTGCTCTCCGGACCCTCTGGACAGGGTCCCTCTCTGCCTGGCCTCGCCTGCATGTTGTCCAGTGTCCCCCTTCCTCCCCCAAGGTCTCTGGACAGGAGCCCTCCTGAGCACAGCCTTGCCTGAATGCTGTCCAGTGACCCCTATGCCCCAAGGTCTCTGGGTAGAGCCCCTGCCACACTTGGCCCCACCTGCATGCTGTCCAGTGCCCCCCCCACCCCCCCAAGGTCTCTGGACAGCGTCCCTCTGTGCCTGGCCTCACCTGGATGCTGACCAGTGCCCCCCCTACCCCTGCGGTTTCTGGACAGGACCCCTCCAACGCTCAGCCTCACCTGGATACCGTCCAGCAGCCGGCTCATGCACCAGTAGGTGTCCGCCTCGATGTTACGCAGCACGTCCACAGGCACGCGGGAGACATCCACACTGTCCACGTCCTCTTCATCTGCAAAGCAGGGGAGGAGTCAGCGGGAGGCCAGTCACCCCAGGTCAGCACAGTGGGCGAGAGAGGCCCAACCTCACAGACAGGCCTGGCCCTCCTGCAGCCCCATGTCCTCCTCAGCTTCAGCACCCAATTAGTTGTGGGTGATTAATATGCTGAATCCTCTCCAATTAATTAGCATAATTAATAGACAGTCAATTATTGCTTCTCAGGCATTTCCCATCTGAAGGAGAGCACCTAGAGCACATTATTCACCCAGGCAGAGGCTGCTGTGCTGCCGGGATGTGTGTGCAACTCCCTCAACCGCACGCCGTCCTCAGCCAACACGCCCTTCCCACGGCTTTCACCTCAGTCAGACGTCACCTCTATGAAAGTCTCCATTATTATTATTACCTTCTCTGATCAGTTCCTTCAAAAACCACAAGGACTTGGTAGCATAGTGGTTAAAACACTTGGCTGCTAATCCCAGGGTTGGTGGTTCAAGCCCCCCCAGCGGCCCTGAGGGACAGCTATGAGGCAATCTACTCCTGTGAAGTTGACAGCCTCAGGGACCACGCGCGGCAGTTCTGCTCTGGCCCACAGGGCTGCAAGGAGCTCGGGGTCGCTGGACGGGGGTTGACAACAGTGCGTGCCTGACAAGGAGACCACCAGCGACCAGAACAGGTGGACCGTCCTAAGTCCAGCCGGTTCCAACCCTGCCACGCCGGGGCCTCCTGTAATTCCTCCCGAAACCTGCTCCGAGGGGAGACCGCTGAAACCACACAGCCGGCACCCCCTGCTCCCACCGAGGCAGAAGCACAGATACACAGAACAAACAGGCAGCGGCTGCAGAGTCAAGGCCTCCGACAGGACAGGACACCTCCCAGGAACTCAGTGTCAGAGGCTTCCTGCAAAACAGAGCCTGACCGTAAAGTCCCATCAGGTGTCCAAGCAAATGAGGTGCAGGGAGAGCCATCCTGACGACAACACGCAGCACCCCCACCTGCTGCTTCTTGTGGGGAGCAGGGGCCTGCAGTCGGTCCTGCAGAAACAGATCTGGTCCTGCCCTGTCCCGCACCACCCTGTGCCTCACGGTCCTATCCTGTTCTGTACCGTCCTGTCCTGTCCCCACACTATCCTGTCCTGTCCCACCCCACCCTGTCCTTCACTGTCCCTGCCATTTCTGCCACACAAGCCCAGGAAGGCAGTCACCACATGACTCCATCTCACTGAGGGTCTTCCTCTCTTTCACTGACCCTCACCGTTCCCTGCATCCAACACTCTTTAAAGGACACTAAGCACCTTTTGCAAAGTGGTCACCCCAGGATGCTCTAGGATGTGGCCCCTGGCAAGCTGAGGGGGACAGTGCTCTACTCTGCTCCACAAAGGAGGCTTGCTGCTTCGGTCAGACCCCCAACACTGCCCTCAGTGGCTTGTCTGCCCAGAGCCACCAACACTGCCCTCAGGGACCAGTCTACACAGACTCACCAACACTGCCCTCAGGGACCCGTCTACACAGACTCACCAACACTGCCCTCGGGGACCTGTCTCCACCTCAGACACTGGGATCACCACCACCAGGAGGGACTCTGCACAGAGTCCCACCGTCATCATCCTCGGAGACCCATCTGACCTCAGGTAGAAGGTCAATCCTGAACTCTCCTGCCTCCTGGAGACCTGACCGAGCAGATCAGCTTCACCTGAAAGAGCTGACGGCTCCAGTCCTACAGCAGCTGTCACTGTTTGATGCCATCCAGGTGACGCCTCACAGACCACACGAACAGTCCACTGAAACCCTGCCCCACCCTGCAGCCTCCCGCTGTCTACACCACGCTCATGTCCACGCCAGCTCTGGCCTCATCAGTCTCCAAAGCCGGCCATCTGCCACTGCATTACCGCCAGGGCACGGAATGATGTGTACAAATCAGGGATGGATGAGGTTGTCTGGCGGTCACCACATTACTGAGAGAGTCTGACAACACTCCTTTTACAAACTTGTGATGAGTCCAGCATTAGAAACGCCGAGGTGGGCACCCAACAAGCTCCTCCCAGGCTCACCCGTCCTCTCCCAGGATGCGCTCTCTGGGACGTGGTGAACTTGGAACCCTTCCCTGTAACTGCTGGCAGGAACCTAAAGTCATGCAGCTGCTGTAGGAATCGCTCTCCAGAAGGTGAAGCCCAGAATGACCTGTGACCCTGCAATGTCACTCCTCTTGATGCTGTTCAAGAGAACTGACAGTGGTCACTGTGAAACAACCAGGACCTCCCAGAACTGGGCTCACCGTTCACTACCCGAGAGCTCTGGGAAGGGCTGACACAGGGCAAGTCTCTCCTGTCAAGGCCCGGAGAGCACTCGGGAAAGGTGAGCAGGGCCGGCCTCTCTTATCTCAGTTGCCTCTCTACCTCCCTAAGGATTCCCCACACCACTGGCAGGACCAGGCCCGGTGCCACCTGTCGCACACCTCCTACACGTGCACACCCACCAGCAAGGACAGTGTCGGAAAAGGACATGGTACCGTTGTTATGACGACATTAATCACCGCACGGCACAGACCCTGCAGTAAACCTCTCCACATAATTAGTAGCTTACCTGGTAATCAAAAATGTTCAGTTCCTTACAGGCAGGCTGGAACTGCTCTGGGTGTTTCATCTTTCCCTCTTCCCAGCTTGGGAGCGTTAAACGTGAAGCTCTCGGAGCTCTGGTGGCCTAGTGGTAAGAAGGTGTGCTGCAATCTCAGAGGCATGAAGTTCAAGGCCACTAGCCAAGGAAGGATGGGCAATCTCCTTCCTTTAAGAGGTGATTAACTTCCTCTGAAAACCCACCAGAAGGTTAGCTATGGTTCGGTGTCAACTCTTTGGTACACAACAACAACAACAATGCAGATAAATAAAGTTATCTAAAAAAACCAAAAAAACTTGAAGCCCTCACACTCTGTGGCGGAGACTTGAGCGCTTAATACACAAATTCTGGTTCCAACTAGAGAAAAAGTTCCTGCTTGGGTAAGAAGGACATCACAGCTCATCCCAAAACTTCACAAAAGTTCTTGGGTTCAGCAAAAGATGCAGGCTAGGCCTAGGCTGTAAGGTCACTCACAGAACCATCATCACCGTGCCCGCATGTGTCGTGGACTGAGCGCATCGGGCCTTAGCCTGTCGCCCACACACAAAGCTGCTGTCCAGCGTGTGGGCATTCAGGAGCTCACCACTACCAAGCACAGTGGTGGGTACTCACCACGGGGCAGACACCATGGTGCCATGGACCACAGGCAAGCTTCAGCCTCAGACCGAGATCAGCAGTCTCAGTCCTCAACCGCATAACTCTGCTCCCCTGACCCCCTAAGAGACCCCCAACCAGGAGTCTCCCACCTCCTGCAACCCCAGCACCAGTGGGCAAACACATTGAGTGGGAGAAGGATATCATTTGTGGGGCAGTTTGTCTATTCTCTGTATAAGAAAAAGGAGGGTAACATCTCTCTTACAGGGCATGGGATGGATGTGAACCACTGACCTTGTGCTTAGTGGCCCCAAATATAACACGCTTGCCAGGGCTCCTTTTGCTCAAGAAAAAAAAGGTACAAAAGTCCAGGTGGAAGGCCCCTGGGAAGAGCCGTGGGCCCCGAGGCCAGAAGGAAGGGAGCGCTCTGCAGCTCAGCCTTTGACTATCAACAACAGAATCAGGGTGGGGGCGGGGGCACACTGATCTCTGACACAGCTGAGTCTGACGAGGTGCTTGATTTTCTAAACACTGCTAGGAGGAAGAGTTTTTGTTCACAGAATCACTTTTAGTGCAAGATGAATTTATTCTATAAATAATCAGAGCGATTCTTCACGAGGAGCTCCAGTGGCACCATCGGCTAAGGCACGGTACTTACACAGTAAGTATTTCTTTAGGAGCAAGACACTGGACACTGGAAGGCTAGAAACGGAACAAAATCTACATGTCGGGAGTCCGAGCAAGAGAACACTCTGGTCGATGCACACAGTGACTCTGCTGCTTTCATTTTTAAGAGGGAGAGGCTGGTACACTAGCCTCGCTGTGAAGTGGGAACCCGCCCAGTGAGAGTCAGTCCAGTGGAGAGTGAGCTGGGTGAGAGTCCAGTGAGATAAGCCATGTGGGAGTGAGCCCAGTGA